ATCTTTTAAAAGTGCAATTTCCTTGTCGTTAATTGAACTGTGAATGGTGTTGTTGTTGCTGTTGTTGTTGATGAGTTGACCACTCTTTACTGGAGTGGCAATAGGTGTACCTTTTTGTGAGCCATTGCTGGCATCACTTGCGACTCTGCTTCGCTTTTTGGGCTGGCGAGTTGCGCTGGTGGTTTTGGTAATGGTGGTTGTGGCACCACGTGTAGAGGCATCAATGGCCTGTTCAATCTCCTTTTCGACCACTGGAAAAGAAGGCTTTTCGTGACACTTTGTGCATTGAAACACAGGGAGTGCAGGTGTGGTTGTGTTGTTGGCAATATATCCAAGTGTGCCAAATTCAGCGCAAAAGGTGCAGCTGATTAAATTATGGTACTTGAAAAATTGCTGCATGATCTGTTGAGCATGAGCTGAGAGGTCAGGGATAGACGCAGGGCGAGTATCTGACATTTTTGGTGAATTAATTTTTTTTTTTTGTACGTGCTTTTTTCTTGTTTTAGTAGGTGTTTTTGTTTGAGCTAATTAATTGATTGGTGTAGAAACTATATCTATTTTTACTGAAGATAAAGATGTTTTCCAAAAGTAGGTGTTGATATGGAAGAGTACGGGATGTAGGGTGATGGATTTAAACTCCAATTTTCTTATAAAAAGGGGCTGTTTTTGACGCGCGACCTTACTCGGTTCTTAACCTCGCGCGGTTGGTTAAAGTGAATATTAATTTTTTATTAGATATCAAGCTAATAATACTATTGTAAGACGATCCCATAAGTCGGGCAATAAAGATACAAATAGCAGATTTTAGGTAGTTAGTAGTTTGAGCAAGCAGAAGAAAAAGCGTGGAGGATTTGACTGGACAGAGGTACTGAAGTGGGTTTCCCAGGCCCAAGCGGATTCGATGTATTACGACAGCACGGGATTAACCAGCAAACGACTTGCATTAAAAAACTCGTGGTCTTGCTCAGAATCGAACTAGCGCCAGAAGCGCGACGTAGATATTTAGGCAGTGATTTAACCAAAGGGAAAAAGAGCACATGCCCGCGCGGTTGGTTAAGTGGTATAATCTTCGCCTGCCACGCGAAGGGCCGGGGTTCGATTCCCCGATCGCGCACTTTTTATATTTTTTCTGTCAGTTTAAAAAAATTCTTTCTTTTTAGTACGAATGTAGAGACCGCAATAACTTGTGTGTTAAAGTTATATCCTAGTATGTTTACCTTTGATGTCAAATAGAACAAATAAAATTAAAACAAAGATAGCAGACTGTAAAAACTATGAATGACACACAAGAAAAATATAATTTTAAAAATATAATGTATAGGCTGAAATAAATGTAAGTGTATAGATCAAAGAAATAGCAGAATAAAAGATGAAACTATTTAAGCTCAACATCCCACAGCGAGATGAGACTATAGAAGAAAATGAATAAATATAAAATAATGATGTATGCTTAATTCGGCTCTTGATGTTTCTTGAGTCTTGAGACATGCACATTGTAAATTCTTTTGTTCGTACCAGCTTGCTTCAAGGATACTATGGACTTGGCGTTGACAGTGGATACTTCATATGGACCAAACCAGTCAAATTGTAGCTTCCTTGGCTTTTTTAAAGAAGTGAGAGCTTGGTTGGATAGGAGAACTTGATCGCCGACATGGTATGGATTCTCTTACGTTGCATTCCTTCGATTCAAAATGATTGTTGACTGTTGTGATGTAAGAGAGAAGATAAAAACAAAGAAGTCGATTAGAACTTGTATAGGTCTATTATCCAAAAATATATCTATCTCTTTCTAGCTCTTCATTCTCTAGGTATTTATATATGAAGAGATGTCGGAGTAAGTAGTAGTAGGGTTCATGCAAATGACTGAGTCTCTATTATCCTAGACTACTTTAAATTAATTAAATAATGTAAATTATGGATTTCGGTTATAAGTCTTGATCTATTAAAAGATACATTGTCTTATTCAGTACAAGAGGTTCTTTTATGTCTATTTCTGATGTAAATTGATTATGATATATTTTTAGTATGTAAATGAAGACTTATTTAATGTCAGATCATCATATGCATATAGATTCTATATGTTCACAACAACAATGACATGTATAAAGCAGCCATGGAATCTGTCGTTGGATTCAAGCAAAAGAAAGTGGAGCAAAAGAAAAGAATGGATTGGGTCGCGTGCCTGAAAGAAGGGGAAGATTTGAAAATCTTGAATTATAGAAATCCAGAATCATTACGCCGCCAATTCTACAAATATATGAGAGGAAATGCAGAATAAACAAATTCAAGTTCAAATTAAATAAACAACTTTAGTGGTATTTTTGTATACCTATTTTATTGCGTTTTGTCATACTATTAATTACACTATGGCGGATTAGTTCTTTGACTTTACTAATATTGTTCGCAAAACAAACAAGAAAAAGTAACTTTTTTGCTAATGTTGTTCGAAATGTCAACAACTTTTATTTTATTTTTCTAAAAAGCAGGTCATATCATTCAAAATCATTGGTTTTCTTGTTTGTGGGGAACAAACTTGTTCGTTTTGTCAACAATAAAAGTTATGAAGCGACAAGTACTGCGACAATGATAGTAGCTTCATGAGCAAGAAAAATTCTTTATTTTTTTTACAAGTACAATAATACTAATAATGTTTCCTATAAAAAACAAAAAAAAAAGAGGTTTGCACAATGCAATACGTTGATGCACTCCTACGAGTTTGACATGAGACTCATCTAAAAAGAGTATATTGAGTTATGTTGAATATTTAGTAATTGTTTAGGGTTTTTTTAACAAAAAATAGCTTTTTGGTTTTTCTTGCAATTGTCTTTCTGTCTTACAAATATGAACCAAACGACTACTTACAAAATCACTCAAATGCAAGAACAAGTTTCCCAACTCGAACAAAAAACCCGAATCGCAGACTCAAATACTTAAGGGATTGATGCATTTATTAGCACCCTCTTTTGCTCAAAGTGATAGTAATGAGATCAACAGTAAAGTTCTTGAAGCAGCTCAACAAGGTAAAAAAAAACAAGCTGCGTGTTTAGAATATGTATAAACATTTGTTTTTGGAAAATGCAGCAAGAGAAGGCGGTGTTGTCAACTCTCTTAATCTAAACTTGATGGGCTTTTGGGACATTCCTAGAGTACTTGAGGAAGCAACAAAAGCATTTGGCTCTCATGGATAACATAGATTTGTTACGCCACGGTTGCGTTTGCTTGCCCTAATCAACTTATTCAAGAAAGAAGAAAATATCACTGATCTTTTAATTGATGACAAAGCGAATGAGAATGACTAGGGAATCCTCAAAACAATCGCAAGAAAAACCCATGATGAAATGGAGTTAGAGCTGCTGAAAGCTTTGAAGAAGAATGACAAAGCAGCTGTGTTGCCTTTATGGTCTGAAATGTCTTCTGCTCTAATCGCAAAATACACATTCAAGCTTGAAAGCAATGCAGCTGCTCATGGCTTTCCTCTTCAAAGATGTCAGCATTCCTAGGCAGCCGGTCTATTGCTCTTCGAAACACACAAGCACAGGAGTAATAGAGCAAGAAATAAGGCTTCTGTTGCTGAAAGAGAGAATAGCTCAAGGATCAGGTATAATAAACGCAAAACATGCATTCAATGAAACTTTAAAATGCCTAACAAGAAACAAAACTATATAGTGAAAAACAAGTTAGTGTTGAATCTCTTCAAAGTGAAAAGCCGTCTTTGGAGTACGCAAACCTATATTGTGGTGATGAATTTGAGGATTCTGAAGATAACATCTCTTCGGAATGAAAAAACAACTGTTGTCCTTGTTCTCCTTGTTCTCCTTCTCTACCTCTTTCCTCTTCTCAACGTAAGAAAAGGGGCAAACGCAATGAAGACAAAAGCCAACCAGCTAAGTCTAAGCGTATAAGAAGAAGTAACATAAAATAGTCATGACCTTAAATAATAAAACCATTTTTTTTCCATCACCTTCTTTTAAAACATTTGTATTATAGATAAAGTCCACAGCTCCTGAATTCAGCCTACATCCAGAAGCTTAAACTCTCTGAAACCTTATGATTGCATAACATCGACTCATGGGCTTACTCATCCTAAGAAGTAGACAGTACTTCCAGCGCTTTTTTAACAATATGAAGAATTGCTGCGCTCCTCTTTGATTGGTATGGAAGAACGCACTTTCCGCGGTAAAGTTTTTCTTCTTTAACATAGCCATAGACAGAAATTGGAACAAAAAAAAACAAGTAGCTCTTATATGTTTACTTACACTCTAACTCTGGTTTCGACTTTTGTTTTTCATCTATATAAAGGCCCGATAGTATATCAAGTTTTGACATGAAATGTCACATCGTCTGATCCCGGTACTGGTGAGTGTTGTTTTGGAAAAGAGTTTTGACATTGCCTTGTTCTAATTTAATTAGTTTGTTTGTTCTATATGTTTAGATGAGATTAGTCTGCTTCCATTTAAAATCAAAGTATGTTTAATCTATTTTTGCTACTTGAAAGCTAACATAGCGCCTTTTTTTTTCTAGATTCCAAAACAAGTCCTTGCTGTCTCTTGATTTATAGTAAGTTTGATATGTTATTACACACCTTCAATATACTCAAAGCTACAGTGGTTACATTAAGTGTCCCATAAAACCTGTTTTTTTACCCTTCTCTACAAAAACTCCGTCGATCCTTCTGAAACTTGGCACATAGATTAATTAGACATTGACAATAATAATCACACTGCTAATTACTCCTAAGTGCATCCAATAACAGTGCTTCATTTTCAAAAGAGAGAAAATTTGTGTTTCACCAAAATTTATTCTTTATTTAAAATGCTCAAAATTTTGTATAACCGCCCTTTGCATTGATGACTGCTTCTATACGTTGAGGCATGCTGCTATAGTATGCCTCCATGTCACCTTTGCGAAATTTGTACCATTCTTTTTCGACCCTTGACCACAATTCGTCCAGATTTTTTGGTTTTGTATCATATCCGGCTAGCTTGCACTTTAACTGTTTCCAAAGATGCTCTATTGGGTTCAAGTCAGGACTGTTAGGTGGCCAGTCAGCAATAAAGTGGACTTTGTGGGCTTTAAGCCAAGAAATGGTAGCCTTTGCTTTGTGTTTTGGGTCGTTGTCTTGTTGAAATATAGTTTTTTGTGGATCCATACTATAATATTCCAATGTATCTAGGTATGACGACCCTAGAATCTCCAAATAGCAATCGGTATCCATTGTCTTTTGAAGCACTCGAGAGGCATATCCTACTCCGGAAGATGTCATGCACCCCCACATCATTAAAGAGCCACCTCCATGCTTGAGCAATAGCTTGTAGTTATGGGGCCTCGCTTTAAACCCTTGCTGTAACCAAGTGTATGTTGCACCATCTGATCCCCAAAGATTGATCTTCGTCTCGTCGGTAAAAACGACATTCTTCCACTCATTTGCGGACCAGTTACGATAATTTAAGGCCCATTTGTATCTCTTCGAAAGGTGAGAAACTCTCAAAAGAATTTTCTTCTGCTTGAGCTTTGAGTATAAACCTACCCTTTTCATCAGAGAGACTGTTCCACTATACTTCAAAGCAATACCCTGTCCAGACAACCAAGTTTGGACTTCTTTGACATTCTTCAATGCTCCAGTTCGGACTTTCATTCGTAACAAACAAGCCGTAAGATGACCTACTCTTGATGGTCTACCGGTACCAGTGCAAGTTTTCATTTCTGGCAACTCTTTTCTAATACGAGAAACTGTTGATTTGGCAACACCTGTTAGTTTTGAGACCTGACGAATTGATTTGCCAGGTAAAAGTGCAGATTTGAAATTGTTTCGTTTATCGTACGGGAGGCTGTAAGGCATGATAATATGGAGAAAAGGTATGTATATAGAATGAAGAAAAGAGACTTTTTTTCTAAAAAGCTTGCCGTATTTATATGTAGTCGGGTAGGTTGCGCTAGAATTTGCGGAAGAATGTGGAAAACCCACGATTGAGAATGCTTATTCGACGAAGAAATAAGATATTCAAGTTTTGCAGGAATTTTTTTGGAAACGCTACGTCATTTTTTTTACCTAAGTTGTCCAAAAATGGTACCCCTTACTAAATAGAGAAACTGAAGTAACCAGCAAAAAAATGCGCTTTTTCTGATGCTAACATAAGGTCAATACGACGAAAATATATTAATTTATGCTTACAAATGAGTTTTATGGGACACTTAATGTAACCACTGTAACTTTTTTTTTCTCAAAAAAGAATGCCCTCCTAAAGAAATTGACTATTTATCCGTACAAGCATGCACTTTGTCAGGTAAGTTTGATGGATAGCAAGATGGTGGTTTTTTCCTTTTTTTTATTAAAAAACCATATATTACATACAAATTATTTTCTGTGTCTATCGGTGTTGTCTCAATTCCAAATGACAAAGCGAATTGCTCATTTAACACTCTTGCCTCGCTTGTATATTTTTGTTTTTATTAGATTCAAGTAGTGCTTCTTTTCTTTTACTATTTCTCAATAAAAGTATCGTTTTTTTCCATTTATAATAAGCGTCTAATTTCTAGTAATCCTAAAAGAAATAAGTGACATTACGAACAATGTTGGTAACTAAAGCACCAAAAAACTTGGTTGTTTTGTAGCCAAAGTTGTTCCAGAAGTAAACAAGTTATTGCTGTTTTGTTGCTAATATTGTTCGAAAAGCGAACAATAAATTTAGTTGTTTTGTTACTAAAGTTGTTCGAAAAGCGTACAAATAATTTGGTAACATTTCGAACAACTTTGTACGTCGAGAAATTGATGCCAGTTATTTCTCAAACAACCATTTTGCTGTAAAAATTGGTAATTTTGCGAACAAAAATTGTACGTTTTGTAACTAACTTTTCCGCCATAGTGTATTTATGGTTCCTATAGAAGAAAGAAATATTACAAACATTGATGAAATTATAAAAAAACATATAGAGAAAGGAACTACTATATATACTGATTGATGGAAAGGATATAATAATTTAAAGAATATAGGTTATAAGCATAAAAATGTAAACCATAAAAAATGCTTTAAAGATCCTGTAACTCATGTCCATACAAATAAAATAGAGGGCACATGGAATGGGTTAAAGCAAGGTATTAATCCGAGAAACCCAAATAAAAAGGACATTTTGAATCATTTAAGCGAATATCAATGGCGAAAAAGAAATTGTGAAAACAATATATGGAAAATTTTTTTGAAAAAGTAAATGTACAAAATTGAAAACGTAATTTATTTAAAATATACCACCACAACGATACATAAGAATAATACCAAATACATAAAGATTGAAATCATCGAATATATATCTATAATAAGAAAACTAAAAAAAATATAAGAAAAATATAAGAAAAAAATGAAAAACAAAATGTGTTGTACAAGAAACAGCTAAATGGTTTAAATGAATACATTAGTCATCCAGTATCAAAACCTATTATAACAGAAATAGAAGAACTCAGTAAAATTGATAACAAAGGTATTGAAAAAGATGAATATATACCAGATGAAAAAGTGTTAAGAGACGATATAATGTATGTTATGTTTAAGGCTTGTCAAGATACCAATTCAAATATAGAATACAGCGATAATGATGAAAACAATTGTTATACTAAAAGTTTTGTAGATAAATCAAACAAAAATATATATTCATCCGAATTTGATGAAATGGAAGAAGATGAGATAGAACAAGGGAATAACATTCCTGAAAACCTAATGATTGACTAAAATAGAGATCCTGAAAATGAAGTTGATGAATTTACAGACGATATGCATATAAAAGAGAACGAAAGTGACACTATGTCAGATGATAATATTAGTAGAAACTCTGAAAATGAACTAGAAGATGAATATATACCTAAGCCTCAAAAGAGACAAAGAAATTCATATAAAAGAACTGACGCTGAGAAAGAGATAAATAAGGTAGTTAATAGATTAAAAAAATACGAAAGACAAGTCAAATAAGGACCCTAAATTGCGTTTTTGTATAAAAGCTAACAACAGAGAAATGTTAAGTTCCATGTCTGCTGTTTATGAAAAATACATTATTAATCAGTTGGATGACAAATATATTGAACGCATCTATGAATATTATGACCAAACAAGTCAAAATTTATGAAAAATATTGAAATTAGTTGTAAGATCTATATAAATGATACACTAGTAAAAAGTAAATACATATTTCTTATTTATATGTTTAACAGAATAAAAAAGTTTCGATTGATAAATTAATCACGTCTTTAGAGAAAAATTTATCAGATTAAAAAATTTGAAAATATGAAACTTATTTGCATAATCACCCAAATTATATCAAGCATTTTAATACTGAAGAGGACGCGAAAAAGAATCTACAACACAAAATGAAAGTGGCGTTTCAAAACGTTAAGGGCAAAAAAAAGAGAGGACCAAGCTTAGATGTGAACTTGGGTAGTCTTTTTGCAGCAGCCAAGACCGAAACACTATAGTAACCGAGAGCATCAGTAACAACTATTAATCGTCAATTGAAAGAAAGATCAGAAGTAATTACATATTTTAATTCAGTGCTACTAAGTTTTCAAGTGCTAATTGTGTTGAATAGAATAATATACAACCTGATAATATGGAACCTGAGAATGCGACAGCGGAAGAAGCCATATCAGAAGAAGATTTAAATGAGGAAAATTCAACAACAAATATTATGACACAGCAAGTACAACCCGACGATTATATTCTTGAAAATGGATTCAACATATTAACACATTTCAGACAGCTCAATTTAGAATCAAACAAAAAATCAAAAGAGTTAGGGTTCTACATCGATGGAGATTTACATCAAATATTGTAAGCTCAATTACTTTCACAACAGCATAAAGATATACTTCTAACAATAATTATTTAGGTCCTTGTCTCACGTGCTATTACTTAAAGAGAATGAGCATGACAAAAGTGTAGTAAAAAGTTTTGGACTTGAAAACTTAAATACTCTACACAAAAATTTACTTCAGAAATACGTTGATAAAGATTCAGTAATGGAAACAACAACATTCAACAGCATTGTATCGGTATTATGGGTAAGTCAATGCTAAATGATACATTTGCGTGTACACTCTAGAATTGACAAGAATCTGTTTTTTAGAGATTAAACAGTAATTCCGAAAGAAGACCATTTAAAGAACGAATAATTGATATTGCCAAATTCGCCAAAAATAAAGATTATAAAATGATCGCTATCTTAATCAGTTGGTAACTGATCAAATAAAACTAATCCTTGGAATTCGTTTGATATACTCAGTTATTATATCTAATAGCCTAAATAAACTACCAAATCAGGAACGACTTGAAGACGATATAAGAGAAGCAAAGCTTACTGTAT